CACCACCGACCGCCCTGGGCCTGCAAGGCACCAGCGAGCCCAAGTTCTCACCATCTCCTCGCCTAATCCGCACAGCAGCCCTAAAAGGTGAACGCCCGTTATCCCACACTTCTGAAGGTAGGAAACCGAGCTTTAGGGTTCAAGGGCTTCCAAAGGTCATGAAGCTGCCAGTGGTGGAAGTTTTCACACCCACATGCACCTGGACCACAAGCCCACACCTGCTTGTAACCATTTGGGCTGCTCAGTAAAGTATGCCAAATGTTTAGAGATGGTTTCCTCACAAAAATAATTACAATGAAGTTTGGAGCTTCCAAGGCGCAAGCCTTGGTTCTCTTGAAAACCGCCTAAGGAAATGTCTCATGGCTGCTGCCAGACCCACGTGGCGCTGACCTGCCGTCTGAGGAGAAACTTTCCACTTTCAGGAGCAAGCCCGGAAAAACCTCTAAGTAGCACAAGCGTAAAAACGAAAACTTATTAATGCATAAGGAGAGTTAAGTTTTTAAATTTTATTTCCTATGTGAAGTTATTCATAGCATGCTAGGTCTTTAGGAATGGGCATTATGCTTCTGGGCACTAGGAGTAGTGGTAATTCGCATAAGAAATTGCTCCTGAAAGGTTAGATCTGTGTACAAGGCCTGATGGGCCTCACAGTTTCCCTCACCGCCCAGGGGAGCTGGCAGGGCCCAGCCTGCGCCACGTGGGGAAGGCGCACACAGGAGGAAGGTAGGGACATTTCACCAACATACAGACCGAATCTCATCACTCACAATTTTAAGGATAACGCAATTCTATGTTGTTCAGCCAGCCTCAACCCTGCGCCTGGGCAACACTTTCAGTGGTGCAGTTTAAAACCCCAGGTTATCAGAACTGAAAGAGAAGAATCTAGTAATGAGCCTATATTTTCATCAACATTAAAGATTTTTGGGAAATAAATTCATGAAAATACATTGAATAGATCCTTAAACTGCTCAAGATAGCACCTTACAGAAAATGAAAAATAGTAGCCCCAGGCATCTAAATTCCAAACAATGGGTCAAATTACAGATAGATAAATTTCCTGTCTGATCCTAACATGGATGGAAATTAAGCTATTTTACACAGCGGTGGTGTTGAAATATACTACTTTTCTATGTTATGAAAACATAGTCTTTTAAAGACTCTTTAAAGTTCAAGTTGAGTTTCAAGTAATCACTTTGCAGCAGCTCTAGGAGAATTACTGTTCCTCCTGATTAAAAGTGCCTATTAAAAAAAAAAAAGCAGTAAAATGGAAAATACGCCTTAGAGAATTGTATTCCTCAAGGCCGCTTACTGCTTGCTTCCAGGCTTTTGTCAAAGGACAGAATGTGTTGAATTCTTCTAAATTGGCAGGGGATCAAGCACAACACCACATAATGAGGTAGCCGAGAACAGAGTTTTTCCTATAAACACGAAGAACAAGGGAATAAGTGCATGTAATTCTCATCTAACTAAACAGGAAACATGATAAAGCAAGCTTCTTAGTCATATTTAAACCAAGTTCATTGGTTTAACTTTAAAATGTATAACTTAAGGTGCTTAGGTACACCCATTCTGATTGTAATTGATGAATAAGAACAATAAAAAAAAGACTTTAAAACTTATGATTTGTACTGAAATGCTCAAAGTAAAATTCTAAAACTGTAATTCACCAATCAGAAAGCAAGATGAACCTGCATGGGCCTGGGATCGGAATCACTGGGAGGGGTCTCTAATTTACCAGGGTCTATCACCTGGCTCGTCTCTTCCCACCTCATCTGGGCAGCGTGCACCCAGAGCCTGGCCTGCCGTCGCCCTCCTACTGGGACCTTCTCTAATTCACATCACAGCGATTTAAGAATTTACAACTTTGTTGGGCTATGAGGACATTAACATCAAAAATCATAACCAGCCCAAATTTCAGTTGAGTAGCAATTTAAAAAGATTAGTTTTTATTTCAAAATAAAAGAGAAGGCTATGGACATTTCCCACTCGATAATTATGCAACATTGTTTTAGATATGTGATTATCTATAACTTTGTTACCAGGTATTTGAAAGAGATGGAATTTAAAAATCTAATCGCTTTAATGAGAACTTTAATGATAGAATTAAGAATGAACAAATTCTCCTAAACTGTAGGCATCAGGCCAGGGGGTACAGTCATAACTGAGTTCCTCAGATGTCACATAAATGGAACCTTTGCAATGAGACAAAGCTGGCATGTTTGGATGTTTAAAAATAACATGATTGCAGATTTACTTCTGAAAAATACAAAAAAATTTAAAAGTTATCAGCTGGCTTGCCAAAAAAAAAAAAAAAAAAAAAAGCCTATAGTTCAATCCTATTGAGACTTCACTGCCAGCAGGCGGGATAAACTCTCAGCCTGAGTTCATGTTCTTCTCAGACATGGACAAGCGGGTTATTCCTCACCTTTACACCATCAATTTCTGTAATTTCTGAACTGGCTATAATGAATATTTAGGGATTACTAAACAACTAGCAAAATACTTTCCTCAACATTCTAAGACACAATTTTCTTTCCCTTACTGATTACCATATATGTGGCAAGAAAGGGAAGTACATATGAAGCTTCAGCTCTTTAAAGTAAAAGCAGCTTCTTTTTTACACGTTATTTCTGCTCTTACAAAATTAGTAAATTCTGTAATTTCCTATAGCTACCTGACAAAGAATACCAAAGATCTTTTATCTTATATCTGTGCAATTTGCAAAAAAAAAAGGGGGGGGGGTTTAATGATATGTAGATGATTACAAAAATTCTATATGCCTAGAAAATTAAGTGGGTCTAATAGGCCGAATGGTGAACGATGGTCCGAAGGCCTGGATCCTGCTTTTGGCGCCTGCTCCTGTGGGCGGTGGCATGAGGCTGCCTCTCCTGGCCTCAAGGGCTGCTCCCTGCCCAGTGGTGAGCCCTGTGCCTTTGCACAGAGGCGAGGATCAAAGCAGCACGTTCTGAAAAAGATTTTGAGCCCCATATAAAAAGCAACAAATAAAACCCAATAGTAAATGTGAAAAGTGTTATTAGGCGTGCTGAGCAGAGGGTCTCACAAACCCTGCAGAATGTACAGAAGCCACAGAGCACTGCGTCATGTGTCAGGCACTGTGCATTTCTTATTCTGTGCACGAACTTTCTCAATGAAAATCCAGCAAAATTCTAAGTCCCCCTCAGAGGGTACTTTTCAATCCCATGAAGAACATCACTTTGATCGCAGCACACCATATCCATTGGTCAAAGCTTCACTTGACTGCCTTCTGTGTGCTGAGCACTGGGATTAGCCGATAGCTAAGGGACGGTCCCTGCCCGCAGGAGCTGACAATCCAGAGAGGGAGGGCAGTGTTACATCTGCCTCACTGTTAAGCTCCCCAGACATCCAAGCAGAAATCTTAGTAGGCGCTCAATAAACATTTGTAGATTAAGCCTAGGGCGGGCTTTTCTACACCAATCAGGGTCTCCCTCACTGGCTCCCACTCACGGCACCCAGGCTCCAGGGGCACCCACCGAACAAGAGCAGCCTCATCTTTCCCTTCCATTGGGTGCTTTTGAAAGGGGGGACGGGAGCGGGGAGGGGGCCCCAGCACTTTTTAAATCGATGCAGTGTTAAATGCACCTAATTCTTTCCCCAAATAATCAAATGTCTTCATTTCACCACAGGAGGTTCCTCTTGAATCAAGAAAGCCAACGTTCTGGAAGGTAATATTGCAGTGTTTTTAGTGGTCCCTGAAAAGCATTCTGGGATCTGGGTTTGGTTTGCTGAAACGGGAACATGTCAAATGGAACCAAGGGACTGCGGCAGCCAACATATTTCTCTAAAAACCAAACTTACTGCCACCGAGTAACTGAGACGCCATGGCAAAGACAGCCCCATCTCCACCATGTCAATATAAAGACTGCATTTCCTGTACATTGCCTAGGGAACCCCCACACTTGGAAATGATTGAAAAAGGCACTTCTAGAGCACCACTGAAGTAAGTTCCATCATTACAGTGGTAGCGCAACAGGACAGCGCACTTCAACGCAGACGCCACACCGTCCAGCATCCCCCAAATGTTCATTTTTGGTCGTTACAGTTTGAAAAGAGCCTACTGTTAGCTATTATCTCCACACAGCAATGAAATAATAAATTAATGAAATACACAATGAATTTAGAAACTTCTTAGGCCAAATCTTTATAGCATACCAGCTACTAGTTGGCAAACGTTGTTAATCCCACTAAAGAAAAGAAATGCAAACACCAAGTAAAACTACAAATACATCAAATATTTACACTCAACATGAGTTTAACACAGTAGTATGAACTGAAGGGCCACAGGCTCAAGAATTTATCTGAAGCACCATAAGACAGTAATATATGTAGTTTGGAACTACAATTCAAAAGTAAACATATACAAACAGACTTACCAAGTCACATCACACACACACACACACACACACACACACACACACACACACTCTCTCTCTCTCTCTCTCTCTCTCTCTCGTTCTCTCTCTCACAGTCTCTTTTCACACTTTTTCCTCTCACAGGATATAAGCACTATCACAAAACCCCCCACAAAACTTCATTTTAAATTAAACACTTAAAATCTCTGAAAAATCTACATTTGGATGTGTTAAAGAAACAAACAAACCTACTTTAGACTGCAGCACAGGAGATCCTTTATATATATTCACTTACTCTAACCTGAGACAACTTTCCTTCTGTTGGTGGGATAATAAAAATAAATTGCACTTCCCCCAAAGATATTATATTTAAAATTTTAAGATCTAGCCTCAGCCGCCAATTCCAACATACACTTGGTAAAAGTGCCTTATGAAAAAAGAAGTATCAAAAATTTATCAAGAAAAGATGTTTCAAGTCATAAGTGGAATGTTAAAACACAAACCTGCATGAAATGAGTTAAAATTTATTTCACAATACTGAAATAACTGTAATTTACAAAAAAAGGTCATGATTAATTTCGGAACATAATAAAATTAAATACATCCCTACACTTCAACAAAATATTTTCATATTTATATATAGTAAAAATCAGTTTGGCACTTAGCAGCTTTTGTTAGTTGTTGCATCCCATATTATGTGGCAAATTTATTTTATAAAACATTCCCTAATTTCTGCAGCTATCATGTCAATAAACTGAATTTAAAAAAACACAACTTGATAAAACGAAGTGCAGGGCACTGACAATGTTACAACAGGGACCTTTTCGCCCCTAAACAATGAATTCTCTCCTTGGAAAGGCCGGGCGTAGACTGGGAAGAATCTTAAACTTCAAAAATTTAAAAAAAGAGAGAACTGCTGATTGTCATGGCTTTAAAAGATATCCATTACTATTTTAACATATCTCAACTACAGCTTCTGAATGCCAAAGCTGTGTTCTATACAAGATGCTTTATTAAAGAAAATTCACTTTTTCAGTAATTTGTTTTCTCTAAAACTAGTATCTAATTGTAAAAAGCAAGTTTTCTTTCCTTGCAGTGGCCATGGAGCTTGCTTTGATAAAAGATATCCAAAGTATCACTGGGAGAACGGGAGACAACAGCTGACCCATACACAACACAAAGGGAAAAGGCCGGCTTTGATTTACAGATCGAGTTTGACCCTGTTACATAAACTTGTGGCAAACTTGGCCTTGTGCCTTTGACAGAGAAGACAAAAACCTCATTCCTTCTTTTACCAAACTCTTCTGCCAGAATGGAGAGTAAATGTGCCACACATTAACATTCTCCAGAACCCCCATGGGCAAGGCTCCTTTCAGCAACTTTGATAGCACTGTGTTGACTTCTAGTGGGTATTTAAATACAAAACAAAAAACAAAGAAAACCTCTCACCCTTTTTCCTATTCATGGTGGGAAAACACAAGCGACATTTCACATGCATGTTAATAGCATACAAACATCCCATAGAGGGAGTTTCCTATAGAAATTCCTGTTCTCAAATTTACAACCACAAGATACAGTTATACATTAATCTTTAAGACAAAATGCTGCTTCTTAGAGCCATAGTCCAAGAGAGGGGAAAAACGCTGTAGAAAACAATTAAAAATGAAAAATTCTATATTATTAAATTGATTAGAAATCTGATATTGCATAAAATTCAAATGATGAAGTAATCAAGCACTTTCAAGTCCCTGATTTCACACTAATGTGGTATAATTTGAATGGAAAACAAAACATCTTACAAGATAAATGCTACCAATGACAGACTTTCCGCCCCAGTGGGAAATGGGGTAGAGTGGCATGGGAGTGAGAGATAGGAAAGGAGGAATTTGCTCTACTATGAACAGAATGAAATTAAGTTGAGGTAGTTTATTCTACCAGCCAAACTTTATCGTAATTTGTCTAAAATCCTTACTAGTGAATGGCATTGAGGATATTCTACTACAAAGACTAGATTCTCAACACATGTTCGCATTCTAAGACAAGTTTTCAAATCTTAAACAGTAGTAAACAAGACTTTGTGTGCTTTCAGACAGATTATTTTTAGAAGTTTTGATCCCGTTATATTTTGTCTGGACAGTTTTGTTTTGTTTTTTTTTGAGGTTTTTGGTGTTTTCTTTTTGTGGTCACAGCAGACCGTTATTTGTCTGATTCAGGCCTTTCTGTTATAAAATCTCCCCCTCTCTAATCCACTCATATTCATAAAATGGTTTTAATTGAAAGGAAGACTGGCACTGCCTGAGACCCTTCACAACTCCAAGAGTACTACCCCAGAAACTATGGCGTGACAGACCTTAAGCTAAATTAACGCAGAGTTAGCAACGTCCTGTAAATTCACGTGAGGGCTGCAACCTGACTCATTAATTTATTGAGTCTTTATGTCACTAAGATAGAATGTCATCAAAGAGAAATTTTATCTTAGTTTCAATTTATCATAATATAGTTTAAAAAAGATTCTTAGCACAGAATACTAGTAGTAAATGGAGACTAGCTGGCATACCGTCCAATCTAACATTTTAGGCACAATCCTTAATTTGTTGGGCAGGGTTAGGCATAATATTTCCTTCCAAGTGCAGTACAAAAGCAGTCTTGGCATGTTTGGATATTCTGATTTGCATATACGGATTTTTGTTTGTTTGTTTACCAAAGCCAGGTACACAGCAATGTACCTTCAGGAAAAATGCACCTTAGTATTTTAACTTCAATATTTTACATAACACCAGTTCCCACTTCCCTCTTCTTTTTGACACTGACTAGCCTCCATTTGTCTATAGACACACCTAACTGGAAGAACTGATTCCTCCCAGGTAGTTTTTCAACAGTTACATGTTCTCCCAAACAAGAGCTGAAGCTCAAGCGTCTAAGCATTATAAAACCACCAGAGTTACCATACAGAGCCTGGCACGCAGAGCAAGTTTAGGCTGCCATCTCGGTCCCCCTCACGTAAAGCCATGTCACGGCGCACTTGGTCAGGAGCTCTGCTTCTGCTCTGCTTCCTCTTCAAGGTGAATGAACACGGATACGGAATAAGCCTTGCTGAAGCTGCAGGCGGAAAAGCTTGCAATTTGCAATACGTAAGGCTGCACACCCAGTGCGGCGGAGGTCGGAGGGCAGGAGTGGTTTAGTGTGGTGCCAGGTTCCAGTGCTCCTTTTAAACTCACGCACGTAGTCGTAATTGGTACCTAAACCCCAAAAATAAGCAGAGGTGAGACAATATGCTTTGGAATCACTAGGAAACAGCTACAGCAAAAATCACCCCATCATTCTTACCTGTGTCAAGATCTCCGATAACATAAATACTGGCTCCTATGGGTACAGCTCCATAAACAAACGAGGAACTGGCGGGGATGCACAAATTCTGGTCATGAAGATAGATCCACCTGAAAACAAGCAGAAGGACAAAATTAAGGGAGACTACTAGCAACAACCAAACCCGGGGAGCCTCCAACAGCACTTCGCCTTGAAGAGGAAGCAGAGCAGAAGCAGAGCTCCTGACCAAGTGCACCGTGACATGGCTTTACGTGAGGGGGACCGAGATGGCAGCCTAAACTTGCTCTGCGTGCCAGTAAATGTCAACCCCCACCTTGCACTTCCGGGTAAGCACCGATTTGCTTCCTGTCACTACAGGTATTAGTTTTGCCTGTTCTGGAATGTCATATATTGAATCATAAACAATATGTACTTTTCAATCCACTCCTTTTGTCCAGCATAATGTTTGAGATTCACCCATGTTGTTGCCTGCATCAATAACGTGTTCCCGTTTATTTCCGAGCAGTATTCCATTACATGGACATAGCAGAATGTGTTTACCCATTCACCTGCTCATGTTCATTTGGGTGGCATCCAATTTTGGTTATTGTAATAAAGTTGTTTTGGACATTAGAGTGCAAATCTTTTTTGTGAGCCCATGTTATGGCCTTTTGTGGTTATACAGTTAAAGATATATTTCACTTGATAAAAAAATGCCTGTTTTGTAAAGTGTTGTGCCATTTTGCATTCTGATTAGTAGCATGAGAATTCCAGCTGCGTGGTATTCAGGCCAGCTCCTGGTGCTGTCCATACTTTCATTTTATCTATATTAATGGAATGCTCTGAAGACTACTGATGTTGAACATCTCTGCATGTGCTCATTGGCCATTTTATGTATCTTCTTTTGTGAAATGTCTGTTCAAAGATTTGCTCATTTTTTAAATTGGGTTTTCTGTCTTCTTATTGAACTATAAGATTCTTTATATTTGTGGATATAAGTCCTTTGTTAGATACATGTTTCAGAATATTTTTCTCAGCATGTAGACTGTCTTTTCATTTTCTTAATGGAGCCTTTTGAAGAACAGAAGTTTTCCATTTTGATGATTCCAATTCATCTTGTTTTCTTCTTTTCTAGCTCATGCTTTCTGTGTCCTTCTAGGAAATCATTGCCTACTCCAAGGTTGCAAAGATTTTCTTCTTATGCTGTTTTCTGGAAATTTCATGGTTTCAGCTTTTACATTTAGGTCTTATGCTACGTTTCAAGTTAATTTTGTGTATGGTATGAGGTAAGAGTCATGGTTCTTCTCTGCGGTGGGGCAGGGGGTGGGGTGTATATATACCTAGTTGTTCCAGCGTCATTTGCCGAAAAGATGTTTATTTCCCCACTGTATAGATTTGGCACTTGTGTTGGAAATCAATTTAATTACCATTAAAAGGATCTGGGGCTCCATGAAGAAGTGGCTGATTCCACAGCTGAGATAGAAAATACAAGATAAGCCTGGAGCATCCTGCGCTGCCAGGGAGGAAGTGCTTAAAAAAGGATGGGGGGGGTGTCAAACGGACACAGGACCCAATTTGCAGTAGCTCCCAATGGCCAAAGCTGGGACAAATCGAGCAACAAAATAATGATAGTATTATATTTATTACTCAGAATAAAAGAAATACCCATGAGTGCCTACTGATATAAATAATTGAATACCTTAAAAAATAGGGAGAAGGGACAGGTCTCCTTTAGAGTTCCAGTTAATGAAATGAAAGAAAGAAAATCACTGTGAAGGAAACACCACAACAGGAACTACAGCAGGCTAGTCTGTCAGTGGGTGCTAAACTAGTGGTGGGAGTTTGAGGAAAAAGAGAATGTGTGTATATTCTTAAATTCTTTCTTCCAAGACATTTATTTATTAATTACAAAGGGAAAAATAGCAACTTTAGAGTGGGGAAACCCAACAGACATCACTTTAACCAGGTAATCAAGGTTAGCACCACCAGTAATAAGACAATATATTGACATCACATTTTACCTGCTCAAAATGCCTAACAATAGCCTAATCTCAAGAAATCATTAGACGAACCCAAATTAAGAGATATCCTATTTAAAAAAACTGATCAATAATCTCCAAGGGTATTATGCATGAAAGACCAGGAAAACTAGGGAACTATTAAACATGAAAGGAGATTAAAGAAACAAAACAACGGAATGTAATGTCCACCCTGGACTGGATCCTGGTGCAGAAGGAAAAAAAGACAGCAGCAGACAAGGGAGAAATTCAAATAAACGCTATAGTTTACTCAATAATATTGTACCAATGTTAATATCCTGGTTTTGATATTTGTACTATGGTTATGTAAGATGTCAACATTAGGAGAAGATGAGTGAATGGCTTACGGGAATTCTATTTTTGCAAGTTTCCTACAAGTGTAAAATTATCCCGAAATAAAAGCGTTGGTTTCCTGTTGTTGTTGTTGTTGTTTTTTAACTTAATGATATCCACTTAATGTAACCTGACCAATTTCCCTTTAATAGGTAAAGGCACAACCAGGTCATAGTAGACCTCAGTTAGACCTTGGGAATGTATCTAAACCATTGGGAACTACCCAAGTCCAGGCCGACACTCGCTCTTGGAGCAACAGGTGTAAGAGTATTGCTCGTGGTATCTCTGACTCCATGCTATAAAGTGCCCAATATGCCAAAGGTACAGGTCCCAAGTACCTTGATGCTAAATACAAATGCAAAATTATCTCACTAAGAACAGCAGTTTTATTTCAATGAACAGTCTTCCAAGCTTGTTATAAAGGAGTAGCTTCCACATTTTGAATTTCAGGAAACATGGAAGCAAAACGGTTTGTCCAAAATCCTATAACGAGTCAGAAGCAAAGCTAATACAAGCTGTCATATTTCTACATACCTTCATCTACCACTGATTCCTCCAACACCTGAATGTCAACTGGTATCCAGCAGTTTGCTGGGACTGAGAATACAATTTGGCCTCTGCCTCCAAAATACCTCTTATTAAATAGGAAAAGTGAAAAATCTAAGAGCTTCCATTAAAAAAGTGAAAAGAGGCATGTGAACAGACCTTTGAAAGAAAAAGTTTGGAAATGTCAAACTACAATAACTAACTGGCTTGTTCACATTTTATGTGTTCAGGGCTAAACACGAATTTCTAGGCTCTGACACTTAATTATTTCCTAGGCTCTGAATCAAAAAAGCTAAAGAGAATTCCTGTGCTTTGCCTGCAGCTGAATCGTGCTCGCAGGACCCACCCCAATGGAGACACACACAACTGTTCTGAGCAAACCCATTAAAAGGCCATGTGTGCACTTAGCAGGTCAATAGTCACTTCTACATTAAGACATGTATGACTACATTATCTACTGAAAAAGCACATCAGGATACAGGATATTTTGGAATGATTTTGTAGAGTTGAGAATTTAACATAATCTCTCCCTGGAATAATCAAAGCTGGTCTATGTAATTGATAGACCAAATTTGGTCACTAGGTGGTCTATTTTATATAATGCTGAGGCTTCAAGTTAAATAAAACTAACATGAAAATTTAACTGGAATATATAGTTGCTGTTGCTTATAAAACAGGTATAAAAGGCACATGGTTTTCCATTTCTTTTTCTACCAGTTATCACTTCGTTGGGCAATATAGTGAACCCAGTCTGTTTCATCATCTGTAAAGTAGGGATTTCAGACACCATCACCAACCTCAAGTGACTGCTGTGAGGATGAAACAAAACTGCCAATACAAAGCACTTGGCATACTGTCTAGTACATAGCAGGCGTCATTATGTGGTAGTGACTTTTGTAATGGACAAGGCAATGTTATGCCCTTAGTTACAAGGTTTTTAAACACAGGCTTATCAGGACTTGAGGCCACAATGATGACTCTGATGTTAATTCAAAATTAAGAATGCTCCCTGAGAACCATACTTCAAGACATAGCAGGGCTCAGCAGCAGCGAGCTGCAGTGGGAGGAAAGCAGGAGGGGAAAGACAGGTGAGGAGGGAGAGGGAGGAAAGGAGGAGGGAGGAGAGAGGGACAAGAGGGAGCTTTAGTGAGGTTTCTGCTCTTAGGGAGGATGGATTGCTTTACAAGCTGACCCTCCTGCAAGGAACCGCTACAGGCTCTGGACGAAACACAACCACCAACTGCCCGAGGGCTCTGGAGTGTGAGCAAAAGCAGGCAGTTTGGAGAAGCAGCTGAAAGTTGAACAGGCATCCCACAAGGAATGTTTCCATTCTTTGGTAGCTTTATTCCAGGGCAGTGGCTTGGGGCAGCTGAAACTCTGGGAAAACCCTGCCACTTTTCGGCCTCTGGAATCAGGGTAGGCAGAACATCGTGGAGCAACCAGAATCACTGAAGTGTGGTGTGGGGATCTCAGAAAGATGAGAGGTAGAGAGGAGCCCCTAAATTTATGCGCATTCACTCATCTCAAGTCTTTGAGCCCGGGACCATGAATGCTTGCAACTAAGCCTTGAAGGACCGAACTGTCAGCTGCCTCCTGCTGTGGATGTGACAGCCTAGTCTGAGTCTAACCAAGATCACGGTCTGCTAAAGCTCTCGGGGCAGCACTCCGAAGCTGCCCAGGGACCCGGGGCCTCAACGACGTTCTGGTCACAGCATCCAGGAGGGAATCCAAACTTATTCCACGAAAGAAGAGCCAGAAAAATAACAACTCATTCTCAAGGGAATAAACAACAACAGACGCCAACTCTGCAATGACTCAGATGCTGGGATTATCTATCAGGCAGGGACTTGAATGCAGCTTCTATAACCATGCTCAGTAAGGGAAAGGAAAATGTGCTTATGGGGAAAACACAGGAGGCTTCAGCACAGAAATTAAAAAAAAAGAAAAATTCTACCTGAAGAATTTAGGGAAGGAGGAGCAAAATAAACCTGAAGTAAAAGGAAAGAAATAACATAGACAAAAGCAGAAGCCAATGAAACAGAAACACACAATGGAGAAAATGAAAGTCAACAGCTGGTTCCTTGGAAAGATACACGCAGTGGTAGCCTTTGTCAATAGAGGGTGCTGGAGGGACCGCAGGGCCTGTCCTTTTGCTCAATGAGATTAGCTTTATTTGGTAAGCAATGAGGAAATAGGAAGGATCTTCAGCAGCAGAATGAAAGATCGAAGTGACGTTAATCTTTCAGAAGTGTAAGTAGGTAAAATGTTTTCAAGAAGACTGGTCAGCAGGCTGATGACATTGCCCGTGGGGAAAGGAATGCATTGGGACAGGACCTGAGAAATAAAGGGGGGTAAATGTGAAAAACATTACAGAATTCCAGGAAGATAAGACTTGACAGCCGATGAGATGTGAAGCACAGGAAAGGATCAAAGGCGGCCTTTTCTGGGTGTGGACGACTGGGAGGTGTAGCATTAGTAAGACCAGGGGCACAGGGAACAGAAACAGAGGCACCGCCATTCTGACCTCGTAACTTGTTCCTATGATCAGGTTCAACTTATAGCAATTTCTCTGCTTTCCTTGAAACAGTTTGTTTTTAGTCAGAAACATAGAAAATAATAAGATATGGCATTTTTCCAGGAAAGTTTTAACCTAAAAATAGGGAACAAAGGCAGGAAAGACAAGAGATTACTTAAAAACAATAAATGGTCTCCAATCTAATAGATTGTTCATCTGGCAACAGTTTCCAAACAATGCAAATATAACGTACTTGGAAACATCTGATGATCTTTTAAGGAATAAAAATGTTATTTTCTTCCCACAGATATTAATGGGAAAGCCTACATTTTTAAGGCAATATAGTATGGTAGCTAAGAAGGTTGCTTCTGGGGCCAGAATGTCCAAGTTCAAGTGTAAGCTTTGCCACTGCATTTGGATACATGCTTAACCTCTATGTGTTTTCGTTTCCTCGTAAGTAAAACAGGAATAAAAAAAGTATCTATATCACAGAGGGTTGTTGTGAAGGTTCAATGAGTTAAATGCGTTAAATTATGGCACTTAGTGGTACAAATGTGTTTAAATAGTGTTATCTAAACAAGTAAGACTCTATATACCTGAACCTTGACCAACACTGGGGTTGGGGCACTGACCCCACCCCCACACAGTTGAAAATCTGTGTACAATTCCGACTCCCTGAAAACTTAACTACTGATAGCTTCATGTTGGCTGGAAGCCTTACAGATAACATACACGGTCAAATAACACATACATATTTTTTGTTATATGTATGATATGCTGTAGTCTAACAAGTAAACCAGAGAAAAGAAAATGTTATTAAGAAAATCATAAAAAAAGAAAAAATACATTTTCAGTACTGTATGTATATTGGAAAATATCTGTGTTTAAGTGGATCTGCACAGTTCAAACCTGTGTGGTTCAAGGGTGGCACTGTACACTATATTGACAAGAAAAACTAAGCTTTCTTGATTCTATTTATGAACTAATGTTGACGTATTTAGAAATAAGAGAACTAAAGACATTAATTTTATTTGGAAGTGCTTTTAAGTAGTAAAGAAGGAGTAATTCTCTTATGTTTAACAATTATGAACTGAAAGCAAGACATTCAAAGCTTATCAACTATAAGTATGAAACAAGCTGATAGAAACATAATGGTTCTAACAATTTATAGCACATCAAAGGCAGACTGAGAGACTTTATAGCCAGATTTGAGTCCTATACAATCAAAACAGGGACAGAAAAAGGTAAAATCATAAGCAACCATTATTATTCCAGTGAGTTATAACTCTCTAGCTTGTACTGTCAACACAGTAATTCAGCCATTATGAAAAAGGCTTCTATCATTACTTTATCAGAAACCAAACACACTGACCACTGCTTGTTAGTGAAGTTGGGCAGACTGTCTCGAGATTCATTTGGGCAGGAAATTAATATACAGTCACACCTTGGTACTCGTGGGCTTCAGAACTCATCAAACCCTGTACTTGCTGCATTTTGACGAGAAAAAAACGCTTCATCACTTGTCACTTGCTTGCCACTCAGCGCCCCTCTCTCATGATGCGTTTGTCTCACGGTAGTTTGGTACTGGCTGGTGGCACACATCGTGAGTTCTGGAACGAGTTAACGACGAGTACCGAGGTACCACTGTACTTCATACCTTGGACAGTCAGCCCTCATAGTGGTATGTTAAGGAAGAGAGATGGAGAAAAGTCTTTGAAATTTTGCCCCTTCAACCCCACCATAGCAACATCCTCTAAATTGCTCTTATACTACATCTAATAAGTTTTCCTAAGATAGTTTACCCTGTAATTGAAGGGGGAAAAAGGCTATGAAAATATCCTAAATTAAAAATACATTAAAAGACAGATCACATTTATACATTTTTCTAAAATCTTGGTAACTGCTCACTGTTTGTCCTAATCTAAAATAATATGAAATTAAACATTATATTATGGCACCCCCTTCTGGTAATATGATTGAAACACTATCAAAAGATTAATTTTAGCATGGCAGTTTCCCTGTAGGATTTGAACATATTACTGCAATAAGAATACTGTTTAGTGGTTATAACCATAACATGTGTGAGAGAAGGGAGGGGGAGGGATGGGGAAGAAGGGTACCTACTCTACAGGACACACATGGACAGGTGGCAGCCTGTCAGAGGTCATCTCTGACACCACACTTCACCCATTTAGTCAGCATTTTACTGAGTGTCTACTACAGTTATGATGCTGAAGCTGGGGTTTAAAATTGGCTGAGCTAGACCTCGCCCTGATGGAGCTTATGGTTAACAATTACATCAGAGCGCGACATGTACAGAGTGTTATGGGATCACACAGTGAGGAACCCAAATCAGACCTCTAGGGGACGATAATTAAGGAGGGTTGGGAAGGGGCCAAATTAACTGGATCAATGTGGGACGGGAAATTTTAGGCAAAAGGAACAGTATAAAAGCACAGGGCTGAGATAATCAGGGCATGTTTGAGGGAATAATGACCCTCAGTGTGACTCAAGTGAAGCGTCTAGGTTGAACAGGAGCAGAAAAGAATATATCACAAAAAGTCAAATATGCTAAGTTAAGAGGTTTAAAGTTTTTCCTAAAAGCCATAGGGAGCCAATGAATGATTTTAAGTGACGAGGTGTCAAGGTCTGATCTATGTTTTAGAAACACTTTTCTATGATATTCCTTTAAGTTACCAATACTTCTGAAGTCACTAAATCAATGATCTATTATGCATTATCTCCTAAATAGACAAGATAGTTCAATTAACTCAAAAACAAAACTAAACAAAGCTAAACATGACTTTTAGAGGAAAAATAAAAAGTTGCAAAAGCTACATGAAGCCGTTCTTAATTACCTTTTAAACTCATCGTGGTAGAATTCAGACTTGCAGGTTACCATCTCACTTCCCTGGATGTCATCGCGGCCTCTGACTCCCCCAAATACATACAGTTCCATGGCAACCCCGCAGGCCACCGCTCCAAATCTGAAAGGCCACAAAGAGCCTATTAGGCATTTGGTTTACAACTCACGACCCGAGTCCCTAATCCCTCTTCTGCTGGTTTTAACTCTGCAACGGTCAGTGTTTGGTGAATATGTGGATCTTCCTTTTTCAGGAAATGGATTATTCATTTAATTTTATATAAACAAAATCCCATGTGAAATAAAAAGTTGCTTTGAAAGAAAAGAAGAGCAAAAGCCAAGTGTTTAGGGGAGACTATAAAGTCCGTGTGCGCGTCCCTTCACCTTTTCTCTTTCAGTGGACATATGGCAGTCCATTGCTGGGTCCTTGGGTCATAACATTCCACAGATTCAAAAAGCTTTCCATATGACCCGCCACCCATGGCATAGATTTTCTTTTTCATAGCTGCATAGCAGCCAATCTGAAAGAAGAAAGCAACAGTGTGGGAGGCAACATTTATTATGACAGATTAACACTCACTTATCAAAGAGCATTATAAAATATTTAGAAAAGGATTTGATTTCAAGAGTAAAACTACGGTGCTTTCCAACATTACAAAACAGGATTTAAAAAATGAGAAAAGCAAGGTAATACACATATTGTTAATCCTCAGAAAAGAATTAACTCCATCTAATACTATTTCACTAAGTATGATAAGTAAATAACCCTCATTTTTTAAAGGAACGTTCCAGTCTATCTTTTTACTACTATTTGCATATTCTAAGATTTGGATTCCATGGAGCAAAATGTCACTCAATTCTTGCCCCAAATAATTTAAAGGGAACAAGCCGTGAGAGAACATATTATGAGTGTCTCCCAGTACCTAAAGGTGTGCCTACCTGTGGCACTGGTCAAAGCTTGGCTTGAGGACAAACTCCCTGCCTACACCAGGGAATATAAATAAAGACAGATGCTCTGCAGAGTGAACGTGACCATTTGTTCTTTTTAACTCTACCCAGTAAGCAGGGGTATTTCTTTACCTGTAAATTAATGTTTCTCCCCAGTCCTGCATGACGATTGAGAAAATAGATTTAGGAGATGTGGTTGCTTCCCAGGTTAATGCACTCACAAAATGCTTATCAAGCGCAGGCCTTGGACAGAGCAGTGCCGCACAGAGCCCACCGTCAGGATCAACACACGCACACCCTGTCTCCTACCTTGGTGTATGGCTGATGGTAACAACTGCAAGCTACCGAGAGAGGCAGAGTTCTATAGCATTAATTCTTTTAATACTACCAGTTGTATTAAAAGGGATACGTAGGAAATGAAGAAACATTGCTTTTACAATCCAGTTTGTAATCAGAAGATACAGTTCTCACCTTTCTAACCATGGTCAAATCAGGTTGCTTTGTCCAGGTTTTAGAATAAATATCATAACACTCCATGGAAATTAGCTCTTTCTCACCATCCTCTCCTCCTAAAATGTACAGCATGCCATCTATCTCCACAATTCCAAAGTTATGTCTTGCCTGAAAAGACATCAACTATCATATCAAAAGCTGATATTCATCCATTCAGTAAAATTTACAGATATCATTATATTCCAGAGTTCCAGCAAAGAAGCGCCAGGCTCAAAACCCTCCCTCTTAAATATTTCTGCTTTCCCCAGCAGCTCACTTGTCTATCACAAAAGACAGAAAACCCAAGCCTAGGAATTTCTCAAAACAAGGGAATTACCTGCATGGTAAATTCATGGTCAGAATCAGTACTTTTTACCCACAATAGCTTACAACGAGAAAAAGAACTATTAATTTTTGGTTCAGTAAGGTTATCTGTGTTGAGCGCTGGTCTATACTTGTTAATTGCTTCCGAGTTGATGTGTGAAAGACAAGAACCACAGCAGCGGGACTGCCTGTGGCAGAGAGGGGTGGGGAGATCAGGTTCTGCTAAGGCTATGGGCAATGACAGAAGCCTGAGGTATTTCAAATTCATGTGTCAGTATTTTCTTAGTATCCCTTATGTGCCCAGCACTATTCTAGCACTGAACACAGAGCACTGAACACAGACAATATCCCCTGCTGTCAAAAGAGTTTGTGTAAACAGTGGAAAACTTCCTACTATGTGAGAAGGCGCTCCATGGCATGAAGGGAAAGAAAGGAGGGTAGGGGAGACAGGAGAGCTGAAGGGCTGCAGGGAGGCTCCCCTGGCAAGGTGCTCTATGAGCAAACGCTGCAGCAGCAAGGAGCATGCCACATGGGTATCTGACAAAGGCCTTGAAGCAGGAGCGTTTGTAGAAGGTCTGAGACACTGAGCGGTCAGGTTGAGCAACGCCAAGGCACAGAGAGAGGAGCTGGGAGGCCAGGCACTAGCGTCTCAGGCAGCACGGCCTGGCAGGGTTGCCACGGTGTTTTCTTATACTCAAATGGAAAACAAACGATCAAAAGTGCCAAAGGGGGTGCGGGTGGGGGGAACAAAACATGCCAAACAAATAAAAAAGCAATGTTTTACCTCGTTCATCGGTGGCAATGCAGTCCATGAATTTGCATCTGGGTCATACTTTTCTCCAGAGCTCAGGGTCTGCTTATTCTCATCTTGGCCCCCAAATACAAACAAAAATCCTTCTGCAAAAATCAAAGGAGACACACAAGAACGTTGAAACTTAAGTCTTCAAAACCCACCTGTCAAATATAAATGTCATAGTTATAGAGATGTGGAGAAACATTCTCTGATAACAACAATGGATTTGAGATCTTTATCAGGTTTCATTTCTTCCCTGGTGAGGGAGCCAAGTTTGTGAGTCACTGTGACCATTTCACGTCACTCAGTATGTTTGAGCGGATCCCCACTACTTACAGCATAAAAGGAAGGCTGACACCACCCACTCAAGTCGCCAAGCAGCTCTGGGTTATCTAAGTTCATCTGTTCTGGGAAACTATTCAACCTTTCTTTCAATGGCTTTGATAGGATATAAAAGACAGAAATCTAAACCCCAGGCCCATAGAAAATATGTCTCCTGGCAGGAAAGACTCTCCAAAGTTCTAATCAGCAGAAGTAAACAATAGAAAGTAGTCTTGCAAAGATTTCACATTCCAAATATTGGTATAATCAAAAGACTTACACAACAATGTTTTCTATATTTAAGAAATAAAAGACAAATTTGAAGATAACTCTTGTAAAAAAAGAAGGGGTCATAGAAGTGACTTGCAGATTTGAAAAAGACTTAAAGAGAATTTCTAGAAATAAAAAAATAGATAAAATTAAAGATTCAATGGATGGTTTTAATGGCAGGTCCATCATAGTTAAAGAGGGAATTCATTAAATGGAAGATAAAAGGAATCATAATGAAGGCAATACGGCATGTCCAAAAGACAGGGGAAAAAAAACAGAGAGAGAGAAGTTAGGAGCCAGGCAGAGGATGATGTAAAAACATCTTGCCATGCTTAATCTGACTTCCAAAAGCAAAGAGAGAAAGCAGAACAGAACAGGGGCATACATAGTGAATGAGAATTTTCCAGATTTGATAAAAGGTCATGCCACAGAGTCAAGAGGCCCAACAATCCCTTAATATGGTAAAATTCCAAACAAAACAAGCACCTAAGCACATTGTAGTGAAATGGCACAAAACAAAGACAAAAAAAAAAAAAATCTTAAATACAGTCCTGGGAAAAGGCATGTTTTTAGACTAACAACTGACTTAACAATAAAAGCCAGAAGTCAGTGGAAAGATATCTTCAATGTGCTGAAAAATAATAAATACCAACTTAAAATTCTATATGCAGCAAAAATATCCTTTAAAAATGAAGGCAAAGTAATGACATTTTCAGACAAGTAAATCTGAAGAGTTTGTTACCAAGAGAACCACATTAAAGGAAATTCAAAGGGATGGACTTCGGAATAAAAAAAACAAAGAAAGTGGTAAATATGTGGGTAAGTCTAAACAAACACTGTCTACCTACAGATACATACTTAAAACATAGATTAATGAAACATGTACATATGTAAATATTGTATTTATACATAATCATGTATTTTAACACACACTTGAAAATATGAAAAATATAGTGTAAAAGCGCTGATTAACTTTAGGTTTTGATAGCAGGCTATGTTTTTTAAGGAAATCTTCAAAAGAATATACACAAAGAATATAACTTCTAAACTGGTATAAATGGAAAGACTGAAGGACCAAAAAAAAGTCAATCAATTAAAAAATGCAAGAAAAGAAGAAATGCAGAATAGGCTGGGCAAACAGGAACTAACTACTCAGTCATTTCACAACTTCAGACCATACAACTGGACACAATTCCTCTCTTCATGGTTTAGTTTCTGAAATGCCAACCCCTCTAGGAAATCTTTGAAAACTAGTGATATAGCAACCTTTGTGGTAGGTGTGCATGTGAGAAAATTCTGAATATATGTATGTATTAGGGGAGGAAAACTTAAAGCAGCGAATTCCAAAAAGGTAGAACAGAGAAATCAGCCCCACATGCTGCTGGCTACACCACTCCATACAGTTGTTTGTTATTAACAATAACTTCAGTAATCCTGGTACCTAGAAAATGATTCCATTTCTATACTACAGCATAGATTTAGCCATTTCTATAACATGGTGTAATGTGGTATAGCTTTAAATTATTTTTATTACTGAATATACTGGAGTAACATTGGTTACTAAAATTATATGGGTTTCAGGTGTAAAATTCTATTAATACAGCATCTGTATACTGTATTGTGTGTCCGCTACCCCAAGTCAGGTCTCCTCCCATCACCATTTTCCCCTCTATGCCCTCTCTTACCTCCCCCCATACCCTTTTGCCTCAGACAATCACCATGCTGTTATCTGTGTCTTTGAGTTTGTGTTTGTGGGTTTTCTGTTTGTTTGTTTGTTTGTTTGCTTAACTCCTGCCCCTTCTGATGTTAGTGAGCAAGCAGAGACTATACAATGAGGATCCCAGGAGGACTGCTGCCAATAATTAGAAATAAGTGATATGGTGTTCATGGGGAGAGCCCAAAAGGCGGAGCGAAGGGTAAGAGAAAGGCAGCCAACAGTGGGAAGGCAGCAAGGACAGTCTTCTCCATCCACTCCTTGAATAAGAGCTTTGAAGAACACGGAGCTATTGTCAAACTTGTAAAGGTCAACTGAAACATAATTTCTGTAGTAAAATAACTTTAAGCCATTGCTAACGTAGTATTTTCTAAATTCTCATTTGAAATGCCTGCTTTCACATGACACTTTTATTTTAGACAGTTATATACTGTACTTTTAAATTGAATTTCAAAGATGATGGGACTATCAGGACTCAAAGTAATTCCGTGTTCCAGGTGTGGTCACACCGCTCACTGGTGGGGAGTCACGGAATTCTGCTTTTCTATCAGGCCATAGAGTAAAATACTCCTCTACTCACGTCTGAAAAATAGCTACGTATTAGGACTTGCGGACAATAAAGATCGACAGAAAACAGTCTTCTTTCCATAGTCTTGAAAGCTAGAGCTACACTGAAAATGTCATCATGGAGAGATAATAAAATTATCTCTTTAAAAGGCTGAGTCACTCAGCACAACCCTGAAATTACACATTACTTGATCTTCTGTTTAAGTAAAAATTACCACAAAACAGTACCTGCTGAGAGCACTCCGTGGTTGATTCTTGGCATGCTTAAAGGGGCCAGTTCAATCCAAAGCTGCCTATTGGGGTCATAAAGAGGGCACATACATCGCATTGCTGCTGTTGGTTTCCGTGAACTAAAAAGATAAATAGATTAGCTGCTAATGTGTTTTATGTAGTTCTGCTATGATAACTATGACAAGTTTTACCACTTTAAAACATGATTAAACCATTTAAAAAAATCAACTGCTGTTACTCTTTAGGTATTAAAAAATATTATGAATTCTTGTTTACATAGAAGTCTCTCCTCCTCAGGCCACTTTTCAAACACACACCCGTACTCACACTCTTTCTTCTCCACCAACAGTCACAATGCACTCGGAGTAGCCCCGGGGTTTGAAATTGGCTAGCATCGCCTCTCCTTGCTGCGGCTGGCTCAGTGGTATGTTGCTGCACTCTTTGACAATTTCTCGTACTAATGGTTCATTCAGCATCTGCTCCCGTAAGTAGCTGGAGTCTAACCCTGAAACCCACAGAGCTGACATAACATCCTTCATGTGGACCTGCAGAAGAGGGCAAAAAGGATGGGGAGAAACGGAGAATGCAACACAGCGTTTAGAATACACATCTTCCAACTCATAAATACTAAAGTTGTGAATAGAGTATCAAGAGGCAAGTTGTAAGTGCCAGTACTGCTTAAATGGGCTTACTGGCCCCCTTTCTTTCTATTTCCCATAGCCTAGACGTAAAAAAAAAAAAAAAGTTTAATTAAAAAAAAAGTCCATGTTTATATTTGATGTATCATGCAAAGTTTCAAGAAGTTTCCTTTATACTCTACACGGTTCCCATAGCAATAGGAAAACTTGTAAGAACTGCTATAATTTGCTTTATCTTACATACCTGAATGCACTGTGAATAAAATCACATTTATGGAAACATTATATACAGTATAGCTTGGTATAATATTGTAAACTAGATAATGAAAATGTATCAACATTAATATTGTATGAAAAATATAGAAAAGCCGAAGTTCAAAAAAATTCTTGGGTACTATATAATCATTTCTTAAGTTATTATTGTTAAAAATATCTATAAAACATATAAATGAATTATATACTTTTCATGTTCCATCATTAAATTTGCACCAACTGACTATAGCATTCTACATACATAAGGTGAAACTCTTTAATTAGTTTTTCTTGGTTTTACAATAGTCATTTTAAAGCATACTCTTTTATACCCTGAGTATTAAAAGGCAATAGTCCTTACAGTATCACGTTCAGATTAACTAAAGGATGAAAAACTGCCTCGCTTCCCCAGCAGTAGGTTGACTTTAGCATCCTCATCACTTTAAGGCAAGAAGAGGGCCAGGGAGAAGCTACTGATGGTGGTCTCAGAGAATGGCCGCAAGCTGGAAACTGTTCAATCTCCTCCCCTAATTTACCCAACTAACGTGGAAAATAGAACATTAACTGTATAACCATACTGAGACTGCAAGCATAGTTTCTGCAGAATTTTAAAAATTACAAGATAATCATTAAAACATAAGTCAATATTTATCAAGAACAATTAACAGTGCAGTTGCACATTTTGACTACTCTTAAACCTAATATGTCTTCCATTTTGAATATAGTAATTGAAGCTAGCATCTGACTTATAAGCACCGGACCTAAAGCCCCCTGGTTTTGCTCCCTCCCCCAGTGGATTAGCAGTTTGGATCTAAAGCCCGGCATTCTCTAGGACCCTTCCTTCCCAGGCTGTCTCTCCCAGAACCTTCCTATTTGGAACTGCGTTGTCATGAAAACTCCAGAGTGCTCTCCTGTTTTCTCCCAAGTGGTGTCGCCTCTCCAAGGAGAGCCTGCACCCCAACCCCTCGCCCTGCCGCCTCCATCAGCGCTGCTGCAGGGCTCAGCCCCAGGACGGAGGAGGGCTGGGTGAGGAAAGGGAGCATGGGGGCACCACTTTCTCCGATGCCCAGCTTACTCTTGAAAAGCATTTTCCCATGAAAAACAACATACAAAGGATACTATGTTCCTTACAAGGATTCATATTTTCATTGCTATATTGAATTACATGGGCTTTTGTAGACTGGTCTGAAACATCAAGTACTTCAGTGATCCTATGGGAAGATATTTCACAGATATCTTTTATTTATTTATTTATTTAAAGACTTTATTCATTTATTTTTAGAGAGAGCAGTACGGAGGGAGAGAAACATCAATGTGTGAGAGAAACATCTGTTGCTTCTCACATGTGTCCCAACCAGGGACTGGCTCACAACTTCAGGCATGTGTCCTGATTGGGAACCGAACTGATGACCTTTCACCTTGTGGGATGATGCCTAACCAACTGAACCACACTGGTCAGGGCTACAGATATCTTTTCGATCATAACTTTGCAAGTCTTTCATGTTGAAGGAAAAAGAGAAGAGTGGTAATTTGGATTAAACACAACTAAATTGATGAAATAAGTGAAAAGGCAAAGACAGACCATGTTAAAAATTACATGTACCTTTCTTATTTCTGTATCATGTGCTATCCATCGAATTACTGCCTCAAAAACGTATCTTTCATTGCCAACGTTTAACTTCTCAAGAGAAATCACTTCTTTAAGCTTCTGAGGACTCAGTTCTAGGAATTCTTCCGTGTTGCTGACATCTCGGAAGTGAGTCTCCAGGTATTCCGTTGCAAGGTAATGAACGTGGTGCAGGCAGTAATGAAGTGCAAAGTCACGGATCCCAATGCAGTTCTCGGCAGCAATGCAGCCTTCTAAAAACTCGCAGCACAGAGTTTTAAGATCCGTCAGCAGGAGCAGGTCCGCTGCCTGTACGACATCTTGGATGGTATCTTCATTAAGCCGGATCTGTAATTTCATAAATATTTTATACTTGAATGTGTATATTTAAAACCCAAACCACGAATCTATTAGGTTGAACCACATGAAAGCACCATTTCGTAGGTCAAAGATGATCACATATTGGCACTTTCATACGGCTTAACATAGTACTTTTTTTCAAGAAGAATTTGAGGGCCCCAAGGATCCTCTGAAGAACATAAGCAGTGTGTGGCTGGTTAACTTTTTGAATTGTGTCCCTTGCTTTACCAGCGTTAACTACCAAGAACTCCTGAAGGTGAACTGTCCAGTTGCTCACTTCTATAATTAATTTAGAGAAAAACCTTAAATGACTGAAATGCTCAGGAAATTTGAAAGTTCTGTATTCTATGGTAAACTGAAGGTGATTTCTTAAATACTAGCATTAGAACTGTGGAGAAACTTGCCTCCACTGTATTAAGTTCTCTCCTTTGCCAAATGGAAAGCCAAACGGAACGCCAGCCCTTGAAGGAAGGGGACCCATACCGCCTCCGAAACCTCACTGAACACCAAATGCCGCGCTCAGCTTCAGCATGGTGCAGCAGCTACAGTTTGGTTCCAAAGCTACTCTCTGGAAAGACTCCCTAATATAAGATTTAAAAAATCATTTTGAACATTTACTTTTCCTTAATTTTCTTCAGTTTTCTGATTGATGCTTCTTTCTCCACCCACTTGACAATTTTTCTACTCAACAGTAAGGGGATTTAAGAAACAGGCCTCTAAAATATTGCTGTGATCACAACCAGTCCAGACTCCCAGGAACGGGTATTCATCTTCCATTTGGAAATGTGACAGAGAGATTTTAGAGTACAGCAAGAGACATTTTACTGCATCTTACACATTGTGTACCACAGATACAATCACCTTAGAAAATGAGCAAAAAAAGTAGAAAGAAGTGTATGAAATAAACTATAAGTATGGAGAAATTTCCCTTTTACATATTAAATTTAGCAATAAGACAGTGGATAGCTGTAGACTATTCAAATGCAGGCATGTAAAAAAACCAACAACAACAACAACAACAACAACAAAACACACACTAACTTCCATCTCAATAAAACTAAACTGCCAAATCAGGAGTTTGTTATAATTTACCTTGCAACTATGATTTTTAAACCATGATTAATTTAAATTAGGAACAAAATCTGTAAATAAGGCTTCAAGTTTCAAATCTAAGCCTTAACATGAATAAGGTCTTATTGGCTTATAAGTTCTTATAAAAGCTGCTGAATAGATTTTAGAAGTTAGATAAGAGGCTGCTCCTAGGCCTGGTTTTATGATACCATGGAGTTATCTCCAGTATTTTAAGGGCTGTCCCAAAGTTAATTTAAATTCATTTATTTTTTTAACAATCATACAACATATAACCTTACATCCATACATCCACCACCTCGTGTTTAGAGAAAAGGAGATAACATGAAACTAAACCAAGAACTTCAAAAAGGATGACAATCACCATGTTTGACTCTAGACAGAATGAATATATTAAGAGAAAGTAAGCAGCACACTCAGAATACTTAGAAACATGTAGGAGACATAGCCTTCACAAAAAGGAAAAGTAACATAAGATGAAGCAGGAATGAAGAAGAGAGTAAGAAACAAGCTCTCAAAAAGAGAAAAGATAATACGTGTTCTCACTAACTTCTTCCTGTTACAAGCCCTGGTTCCCACGTAAGATTTTTTTATGAGTCCTCATGGTAGTAATAGCAGTTGGGCAGGGGGGAGTTGGAGGAGCGCAAAGAAAAAGAAAAAAGTCTGATCACTTATCACTTTCCTTTCCAGGTTTCATTAAATCCCAGAGACACAAGTGGGTAGAGGGAATAAAGGGAAATCAGAAAGAATGGGGGGTGGTACAGGGATGTTGGTCCTGTTGAGTTAGAGAACCAAGGCACCATAAGTACAATGGAGGTGGCTGTCATTTGTATGAGTCTAGAACTCTTTATTTCTGCAAAAGAATTCCCCCTGCCCAAGGAGACAGAATGAGTTCCTCAATAGAACTGGTAAAGAGCAAAACGGGAATTAAGATTGAAAAACAAAAAGACAGCAGTAAAGAGACCATTCCACGTTCTTTGTATCTCAGGCTGGAAGGTGGAGCTCAGAATGGTGAAATCAAAAACTGGGATTGCATAGACCTTATTTAGTGCGCCTTTCTGTAAAGAAAGCAGGGCCCTGGAAGAACACACTGGGGTGCCATTAGCAGCAGGAGATACCAGTCAAGCACACGGTGACAGAAGATGAAGCGTTACGTGGTCATAGAACGGATGAAAGGAGACCCTCACCCTGCGCTTGAGAAGCCTTTACTTAGTCTTCCTTCCTTTGTGTCTCATCATACCTGCCCACTGAAGATGTAATCCAGGATCTCTCTCATAACCATTACCGATATCCCTTCAAGTTCAATCTTATAGGTTGATCCATCATCTTTTGGAGGATTATAGTTTAACTTTGTCCTAAGAAAGGGAAAAAAAATGTAAAATTTCTATGAAAGAACAAATAGGTATAAGTATTTATGCACTAAGTATTCTATAAAGTATATGATAATTATCAGTATATGAATCCCACCTAGAAAATTCAGTTTGTTAACTGTAGATTAATGTATTTTTTTTATCACTTTCAACTCCTAAACATTTGTTATAGGTCTTGGCATGCTAATTTTTAAACAGACAGTCAGACAGAAAAGACAAACCAAGGAACTAAGATATATGTGAACAAGGATCTCTACTTCACCTTGGGAACCCTAGGTCTTTCAGCTTATTTTTTCATGTATTTAACTATGCAGTTAGTTTCAATAATATAACAAGGACCCCACAAACCTACCAACAAAAAAGCTACCACCCTGACAATAACCTGCTTCTAACCAAAGGGTCCTCCTCACCAATCCATTCCTCTGTTTTCCCCATCTAAAGTAACTATTACCCTAAATTCTACGTCCAATTTTCCCTTGCTTTTTAATTATTGCATCCATAAAATATATTGTATCCATTCAAAATACATACTATTTGTTATTGTATTCATGAAATATATATATTATTGTATCCATTCAAAATACATACTATTTGTTTTTGTATTCATGAAATATATATAAAACATCCATGAAATATGTATACTATATAAATGAATAGATGTGTGTATATATATAATTTTAAGTTGTTTTTAGCTTTATAGAAGAGTTCATGCATCCTATAATCTTTTGGGGCTTTCTTTTCATTTAATATTTTATCACTAAGAGTCATTTACATCACTGCATATCACACTAGTTCTCTGTTCTTTCTGCTGTATAATATTCCATTTCCTGTTGAGGGGCCTCTGGGCCATTTCCAGGTTTTTGGTACTGTGAACAGTATTGGTATGACAATTCTTGTACATGCCTCCTCTTGTATTAGGCAAAACAAATTTTCCTTGGTTGTACCCCTGGGAGTAGAATTATACTAATTATTCTCCAAAGTATGAGATGATACTAAACTATTCTCCAAAGTAGTTAGAGCAGTATACAGCCTCATCTGCTATATGTGTAAGAGAATCTGTAGACCCACAAACTCTATTATAACGTTTGAATCTGTTGTACTTCCTAATTTGTGACAATCTAGGGAGTGAAATATGGTCTCTCATCATGTTGTGATCTTCATTTCCCTCATGATCCAGGTGCTGAACATCTCTTCATATGTTTGTGGTCACAAGTGTTTCCTCTTTGGTGAAATACATGTTTAGTTCAAGTTTCTTCTTCAGGTTTTTATTGAGTTCATTACCTTCCTCATATTGAGGTTGAGAAGTTATTTATTCTATTCTTGATATTAATCCTTTGGCAGACTTGACACTTTTCTTAAGGTAATGAACAATTTGAAGAATAACTTTTCATGATCAATGTTTTTTGTGTCTTGTTTAAGAATTGATACTTTACCCAAGGTCTAAAAGATAGTCCTAATTTAGCAGAGGAAAGCTAAGACACAGTCTGAGTTGCACTTAAGATCTCTCCCCAAAAAGATCGGAATTGGTAGTATGGATAAACTGTGGAATGATGAGTAAAAGATGAGCTACAAATAGAAGAATGGATTGACAAAGTCTTAAGAAACAGCTGAATTCCCAGGTCCTTCTTCCACATATATACACAACTATCCTACACAATTTGGTAAGGCTCTCCCCAGCTACAGTGGATGATAAATGATTTATATTCTAGAGTATAAAAATGCAGAAAGGGTGCTATCAGGCACATTTGAGGGTAGGTGTACTGTATCTAAAACTGAGTGAAGAGAGTGTTTACATACCGAACGCTAAGACTATTATTTTCTCAATCTTGTTCCTATAGCGCTGAAAGCCAGACCTATATCCTCCGTACAAAAAATTGAGATACGTTCGTTAGATTACTCCTTTCTGCCAGTGGACGCCTCTGAGTAAGCATCGCTTAAGTCTCCTCTTCTGCAGTCGTCATGTCTAAGTCAAGGTCCCCCAAAGAGCTGGAGCAGCTACGGAAGCTCTTTGTCGGAGGTTTGAGCTATGAAAACAGCTGAGAGGGTGAGGAGCCATTCTGAGCAACGGGGAACGCTCCCAGACTGTATGGTAATGAGAGATCCAAACGCCAAGTGCTCCAGAAGCTTTGGGTTTGTCACATATGCCACTGTGGAGGAGGTGGATGCAGCCATGAATGCAAGGCCACACAAGGCGGATGGAAGAGTTGTGAAACCAAAGAGGGCTGTCTCGAGAGAAGATTCTCAAAGACCGGGTGCCCACTTAACTGTGAAAAAGATTTTTGTCAGTGGTATTAAAGAAGACACTGAAAAACATCACCGAAGAGATTACTTTGAACAGTATGGGAAAACTGAAGTGATTGGAAGCATGACTGACCGAGGCAGTGGCAAAAAGAGAGGCTTCGCTTTTGCAACCTTTGATGACCATGACTCTGTAGACAGGACTGTCGTTCAGAAATACCATACTCTAAATGGCCACAGCTGTGAAGTAAGGAACTATCTAAGCAAGAGATGGCGAGTGCTTCATCCAGCCAAAGAGGTCGAAGTGGTTCTGGAAACTTTGGAGGTGGTCGTGGAGGCGGTTTTGGAGGGAACGACAACTTTGTTTGTGGGGGAAACTTCAGTGGCCGAGGTGGCTTTGGTGGTAGCCGTGGTGGTGGTCGTTATGGTGGCAGTGGGGATAGTTATAATGGACTCTAATGATGGAAGCAATTTTGGAGGTGGCGGAAGCTACAATGATTTTGGCAATTACAACAATCGATCTTCAAATTTTGGACCCATGAAAGGAGGAAACTTTGGAGGCAGAAGCTCTGGCCCTGTGGTGGGGGAAGCCAATACTTTGCCAAACCATGAAACGAAGGTGCCTATGGTGGCTCCAGCAGCAGCAGTAGCTATGGCAGTGGCAGAAGGTTTCAACTGCTGCCAGGAAACAAAGCTTAGCAAGAGAGGAGAGCCAGAGAAGTGACAGGGAAGCTGCAGGTTACAACAGTTTTGTGAACTCAGCCAGGCACAGTGGTAGCAGGGACTAGCTGCTACAAAGAAGGCATGTTTTAGACAATGCTCATGTGAATGGGCAAAAATCTCAAGGACTGTATTTGTGACTAATTATATAACAGGTTATTTTAGTTTCTGTTCTGTGGAAAGTGTAAAGCATTCCAACAAAGAGTTTTTAATGTAGTTTTTTTTCTTTTTCTTTCTCTTACACACATGCTGTTGATTGCTAAATGTAATAGTCTGATCATGACGATGAATAAATGTGCCTTTTTTTTTTTTTTAATGTGCTGTGTAAAGTTAGTCTACTCTGAAGCCCTCTTGGTAAGTTACCCAACAGTGTGAAGTCAGAATTCCTTCAGGGTGATGGCAGATTCCATTTGAAATTTATTTACAATCTGCTTGGGCACACAAGCCATTGTCTTCAGAAACCTTGATATAGTTGAATTGGTAAGTTATTATGTTGTGACCTGGGGTTCACCATTAAAAGGGTCACCCAAGCAGAGTCATAGAGTTTATTTGGTTATTAATGATTGTTGGCACATCCTATGTGATAGATCTAAATTGAATTATGGTACCAGATAAAATTATAGATGGGAATGAAGTTTGTGCATCATCTGTTATGTGTAATCAATCAACGATTTAATACACACACACACACACACACACACACACACACACAGAGAAAAAAGAAAAAAACAAATGAACTGGAAGACTCTTTTGTGGTACTTCATCAGCCCAAAAGGAAAGACCTAAAAATATGGACATAAATCTGACCCCAAGAAAATGACACGGCTTGATCGTGCCACAGTTTACAACCTATAGTCAATAAGCCTAACTTCCAGGTTCTGAGCTGCCAGTACATTTTGGAGCAGCACTTCCGAAACTTCATGCCACGCCACTCGTAGAAAATGTAATCTTACTCTGGGGTAGACAGATGAGGCTGTGTGCAGGCTAGGCGTGGACAGAGCCCAGACTCTCCAGACGCTGCCTGGACACTCTAGGGTGACACCATCATTATCCTCACACACCTACAACACCATTTTTTTTTTTTTTTTTTTGGCACACTGGTTAAGAAACTCTACTTCAGAGGCTCACTCTTAAAATTGAACCAACAGAACTCAACAGATTTCTGAGAAAGGACAACAGAAACCAAAGCCAAGAGAAAAAAGAAAGCTTGGAGGAAGCAAAGATTATGCAAAATGAAAAGTAAAGGGAAAAAGAAAACTTCTCAATAATATTCCCAAAGAGAAAAGAAGATATTGTGCTCATGAAACAAGAATAGATGCTATAAACAAGAAACATTCAGAGGCTAACCAAAAAATTTTAAGGACTGTGAAAAGTTTAATGTTAAAATAAAAAGTTGTATAAATTTCTCAGAAAAGAAAGCAAAAAGACAAAGACAAAAGTAGCAAGTAGGAAGACAGGTTAAGAAAATGAAAAGATCAGTCCAGAACTTCTGAAGAACAGGGATGGATCTGCAAAAATGAGAATATTATCAAGCAGGTACTCAAAACAATGGATGAAGCAGTCCCTTTCCAAGGAATATCATCATAATAACCTCAGAGCACTGGAAACAAAAAAATTCTTACAAGCTTTCGGCAAGAAAAACAGGCTACACAGAAAAGAAAAGGCTTCACACTTCTAAATGGAAGTTAAACAACAATGGGGAAATCAAAATTCTTAAGGAAAATATTTCCAAGGTTTTAATAATCAGCCAAGCTATCAATCAGATGTCAGCATAGAACTGAAATTTTCAGCTATACATGGTCTCAAAACTAAGTATCCCCCATGCACCCTTTCTAAGAATAATATTGGAAAATATGCCCCAACACAAGACAGGTCATCAAGAGAGAGAATGATCCTGGATACTAAATGGAATAACGAAGGCTGGTGTTAGGATAACAGCTATGCACTAGTTGAAGGAAGCCAGTCGAAGACCTTAAAAGACCTCGAAGATGGATTTGATGTAACATTTAATGATTTGAAGGTATAAA